AAGATGTCCTGTACAAATATGGGACTCCTGCAAACCCAAATGAAGTCTGCTCGCTGCACTCACACACATCATTTACTTTTAAAACATTTCTGAATCTTAACTTTGTTGACCCAGTTAGATAAATTCATTGTAAATAATTAGGACTGGTTCTGGTCTCCATTTATAACAGTGCTATAAGGGCAAATTAAGTATAGATTTCATTCTAAAAATAGCACAGCTCAAATTTTTAATCAAATGAAATGCAGTGCAGAAAATAGCTCAAGAAACAGCTAAAAACATCAACATTAAAAATCCACTCAGCAGTTAGTGTGTTGTTCCAGGCCATTATGGTTTTATCCACCCAGAATATAACTATAACTCGTAAAGGGTTTTTACTACTTGGGATTTATTCCATCTTAAAGCTTGTACTAAAACTTATTGGAAGACTAATTTGAAAGTAAAATTTAACTCAGCCTTTGCAGAAGCTACAAGAAGTTCTATACATTTCCTTTATTTGGCATGGCATCCCTTAGTCTGACAAAAAAAACCCAATATAGTAACAATTGTATAAACACTATGAATGCATTGAGTGTTATTTATTGTGTTTTGCCACGTTGTAATGTAACAGTGCTAGAATTTACACATCAAATCCAGTGGAAAGCTCAGTTGGTACCTTCGAAAAATTGGGGCCATAAAATTTATATGGGCCACTGATGTATATCCAGAAGCTGGTTTCCTAATAAAGAATGCCAGCATTCAGTAGTTGGAGCACAACTTGTTTAGGACCCTGAACCAGACAAAGTGCCAGGGGCACACCTTTACCCTTAGGATGGCTCTGGTTAAGGAGGAGTTTGGGAGTGGCTGTTCAAGACCTCTCCAAAGCTGTTGACTTTCTAGAGACAGCAAGTTTGCTGCTACTGTCCTTTCTTAACTAAGATACAGCTGTCCCACAGTCAGCTGAACCAGCTGCTTTCTGTAGTGATCTTACATTGACCCAAAGGAACCTGGAAAAAGAAGCAAAAAGAAGGTGGGCATGAGCCAGACCTTGAAAAAGAATCTATCCTATTAAAGTAAAGGGGCTGGGGAGAACTTCATGGGCAAAGTCAGACAGATGGCAACATGTCTCTTAAACATGGTGGTATGTAGCCTGGCTGATGTGGAGGGTCATATAAGAATGCACTGATAAGCACTGCTAGGAATTTACCCAAGGGATACAGAAATGCTGAGGCATAGGAGCACATGTACCCCAATGTTCATAGCAGCACTCTCCACAATAGCTAAAACATGGAAAGAGCCTAAGTGTCCATCAACAGATGAATGGATCAAGAAGATGTGGTTTATCTATACCATGGAATACTACATGGCAATGAGAAACAATGAAATCTGGCCATGTGTAGCAACATGGATGGACCTTGAGGGTGTTATGCTGAGTGAAATAAGTCAGGCAGAGAAGGACAAATATCATATGTTTGCACGTATAGGAGGATTAGGAGGAACTTGACGGAGGAACAAGGGGGAGAAGAAGGGCGGAAATGGTGGGGGAAAGGGAGAGAGACAAACCATGAGAGACTCTTGAATGCTGACAAAAACTGAGGACTGATGGATGTGGGGGGGAGGGGGGGATGGGCATGGAGGAGGGCACTTTGGGGATGAGCACTGAGTGTTATGTAGAAACTAATTTGACAATAAACTATTTGTAAAAAAAAAAAAAGAATGCACTGATAAGTTGGAATGTAAAGATTTGTTTTTATATTAAACCACCGTTTCTGTTGCAGTGAGGTGCAAGCTAATCATACAGCACCTTCTGCATTTAATCAACGTCTACGTGAGTAGTGATGAGACTAGCTGCAGGTGTTAAGAGTTCTGGGGGCCCGGAGAGCAGCCCATCTTCACTGAGGAGATAAAGATAGCAGGGGCACCCTGCTGAGCTCCCAAGTAGTGCAGTGGAGGGTCACAACCCTGGGCCAGAATAAGAGCACTCCCAAACCATTGCTGAAGTAGCAGTGCCCAAGGCCTACAAACCAGTAGGAGATGTCACACTAGCTTGGATGTGACAGCAGTCAGAGCTCTCAAGTTAAAAGAATAGTCTGTTGTAGCACCTGAGTGTCTCAGTCAGTTAAGCATCTGGCCCTTGATTTCGGCTTTGGTCATTGTGTCATGGTTGTGGGTTTGAGCCCTGAGTCAGGCTCTATGCTGACAATGCAGAGCTTACTTAGGATTCTCCACCCCTCCTCCCCCATCTCTGTCCATCCCCTGCTCATGCATTCTCTCTCTCTTTCAAAATAAATAAACCTAAAAGAAAAAAGAATGGTCCGACTGATCAGGGTGAAATTGAGAAAGGGCAAAGACAAAATTGAATGTTTAAAGAGCAAGAAGGAGTCAGAGATGCAGGATAAAGATAGGATAAGATGACAGAAAGAAGTCAGCCTAGCCACTTGCTGGTTTGTCACACTGTCACCATAGGCATAGTATTTTTCTTCAAGCTTGAAATTCGTTCATTTTTCCTGTTAATTTTCTCAGTTAAACCCTTAATATTGAAACAAGAGTCTGTCATATCCATATACATCATTTACCTACGGCTATAACGAAAGCATTGGAAAGAGGTCATTTAGTGTTTGAAGAAAACCAAAATTAATCTTCTTAAATACTATTTTTTAATATGCCATGGTTTTACCATATTACTGGCATTGCATTTACAACAACAACAACAACAATAACAAAAATGGCTCCAAATCAAACTCTTCTGTATGGTGTGATTGAGTGAATGCTTCATCAACTGCAAATGATATAGATCACCATTATGTTTTGTGGAGACTCCTGCTCATTTGAAAAGTCAGACATCAATGTTTTCATCTTAGAATCTAACCCTAAGTCTTGTCCTTATGAATAAACAACCAGAAATACTTGTCCTGACTTTACACGCAGTTGTTTTCTCACTACACTTGAAAATATTCCCCATCTGTTCTTTGGTTCTGATTTATAACTTCAGCACTGTCTTGAAAGATGATGACCATAATATCCTCGACATAGCCAATATAATAAAAATTGCTGCTGAAATTTACATTTTCATAGCTTTTTCATAGTTGGAACTTGTTCACACAAAAGTTCTTTCTCAGAGTTACATATAGGTTCTAATTAGAGCTCTAATGAAAGCTATGTTTGCTAAGTAGCCTTTATAAACATTAACCCTCCATTGCAGTGAAGCCATTAACTGTTCTTTTGTATCACAAAATAATGCTAGATTTCTTTTTGTTGTGCCATATCTCCTTTGTTTAAATGCAATTTTCCTAGTGAGAAAAAGATTTAAGAAAAGCTGATTTTGCCTATTCTCACATCCATTCATCTGGAATATGCAAAGGAAGGAACATCATTCAACACTGTGATCGTCCTGATTGGATTTCAGTCATGACAAACCACATTCAAAATAGGACACTGAGCAAGGAAACAAGGATAGGATATGTAATTATATACAAGTGTATAGAAAATTATATCAAAAGCCCTGATTCTGCAGTTTTTTGCGTCCTTCCATCTGTAGACAACAGAGGTACCAACCTGACGTACACTGACTTACAGTCATCTCACAATGTTAAATACAACTTATTGAGCACTTAGTGTCAACCAGGTAGTATTGGGGGGAGGTGTTATTTCAATTAGTACTCACAATAACATTATGCAATGGGTATTATCCCTATTTGACAGATGTCGCAGTGAAACTTGGAAAGGTTAAATAACTTTCCCTGAATACACACCTAAAACGTGGTGTTGCTTGGATTTGAACTGAGACCTACCTGATGCTAAGAACTATGATCTTACCCACTCTTCTGTCTTGGTCATATTTCATATCATTCTGTCAGTGAGTTGCATAACAAAAAAATTTTTGTTCTGTGGTTCTCAGACTTTTTACAAAGATCAACAAGTCCTCCCATAAACTCTAATTCTTAGTATAATAAATACTCAGTATAATAAAGTTAGAAAAAAGCTAGCACAAGCAACTAAAAAAATCTCAAATATAATAACCTAGGATTTTAAAATATTGTGCAGTGAGAAAATAGAATGATTGTTATAACTCTGAAAGCCCTGAAAGAGATCCCTGGCTGATAGGTCCTTACACCTATCTGGCAGCCTTACAATCATCCACATTAAACACATACATGCCTGAAGCCAAAGCTTTTCATTTCGAGGTTTCCATAAACAAATTATTACATTTCTAGGGAAAACTAATTCCAGGGTAATTTTAAAATTAACAATATGAACTGCTCAATTTTTCCATTTTCTTCTAAAATGAAAACTTGGAATATGATAGACTTTACGGATGTGCTCCATGCAATAACCATTTTAAGTATATATATATATATATAAAATATAATATGTATATATATATAATGTATATATATTATATATATATGTATATACATAACAGATATAACAGATATAAGAACACAGTCTTTCTTTTTTCTGTGTTGATTCATGCCAAGAAATTCCCTTAAAGACTGACTTAGTTTGGCATCTACCTTTAGCATATCGACTGTATAACTGGCAAAGGTCCATCTCCCTTTGTACTCTACAGACATAGAAACCATGTATGGGGCGTGTTTCCCCATGAGATTTTTTCATAGTTTATGCTGCCAAACAAGCATTAAGCAACTCTAAATTTGTGAAGGTATGTAACTTTACAGGTACACAGTAGTGCATTTAGACATTGAAGAGCACTTTCTACTCATCCCACTCTACTAACAGAGCCATTTAATCCTGAAAGATGAGTCCACTTTTAGACCCTCCTTTTATTCTACAGATGAGAATCCACTGCTGAAAACTGAAAAAGAAGGGAAGAAGAAATAGAGACCTATGATCGTGGTCCATCAAAAAGCAAGAGCATGTTATTCAGGTTTCCCAGGATCCAATACTTTAAGCTAGAGAGGGAAGAAGAAAGAAGAGTTGGAAAATGAATATTTTTTTACAACAGCATTCAGGAATTTAGTAAAGTGAGCTTTAATTTTGGATTTTGAAAACTGAAAGAGATCTCAGAGAACATACAGTCCACGAATTAGTGTGTCATCCTTGCAAAGGGACCATGCCAATCTCTTTATTGTTACAATTTTAGTATATGTGCTGCCGAAGCAAGCACAGAGAATAAATAGTCCAAATATAATTTTGCCTCTGATGGAAATGGAAGGTAAAATGCCTCAAACTCTTTGAAAAATCCAAAGACTATTTTATATGCTAGCTTGAGAAATCTTTAGGATTGAAACACTCAATGGGTCAGTAGTTTTACTGAACAGTATTTTCTTTAGTTCCCTGTTGCCTTTAGGTACTCCTTGAACTAACACTCAGAACTTATTTGAATGCTATTACCTCACAATACTAAACGTGTTTTAACACAGACAGGAGGGGATATCCCACATCCTGCATATATCAAACACAATTTATCAGCACATTAAATTAAAAAAAGCATGATAACTCATGAATAACTTGGGGAACTAATTGATACTATAGTATCAATTTGGAACAAAACCAAAAAGTCAAGTTTCACTTGGTTTAACAGTATATGAAAGATTTCGGCAAAAGCTGATAGTTGTTCAAATTTAACATTTTGATCACTGAATAATCTTATGCCTTAATATGATGAAGGTGGCACAGCCTTCCTTCCTGAAAAATAATTCATACAGGACAAAGAATACTAAGTCTAGATTTTAACTCCTATGTTGCTCAAGGAAGAGGAATAAAATAACCACTAAGATGAGATCTTTTCTTGCTATACTTCATCATAGAGCAACGTTTTCAAATGGGAGAGGATAAATTATGAAAGTATAGAAGTAAATGTTACAACTCTACAGAGATACATGTACGTGCATCATGTGTCAAATGAGAGAACACATGGATATTCATTTTTGTTGAATCCTCACAACTTTCTATGTTAGGGTACCCACAGCATCTGTTTTTCGATTTTTTTATTGACATTTTCGAACTCAAAGTTGAATGTGCGATACAATGAACATTGAACACCCACCATCCAGATTCAGAAATTGTTAACACTCTGCCATATTTGCATGCAGTACCTTCACATCGTTTTTAAACACAAATCCCCACCCACTACTGAGATCCACATTATACCATTTGCATATTTCCAGTGACAGGAACCTCATTACTTCCTAATATATTAAAATGTCCAATGACCATATTTTTTTTTTCTTACCCTGAACTAAAGTCTGCCTTCCTCGGGGACCCAGGGTGGCTCAATCAGTTAAGTGTCTCACTTCGGTTCAGGTTATGGTCTTGCGTTTGTGGGTTCAAGCCCCGCATCAGGCTCTGTACTGAAAGCTCAGAACCTGGAGCCTGCCTTGGACTGTGTGTGTGTGTGTGTGTGTGTGTGTGTGTGTGTGTCCGTTCCACCCTGCTCTCTCACTCTCTCTCTCTTTCTCTCAAAAATAAATAAGTATTTTTTTAAATCTACCTTCCTTGAATTTCTACCCATGTATTCTAGCTCTGCCTTTGGAAAGACATGGTCAAGATTTTTTCCTTCTTCTCTAAGTGGCTCTTCAAAACCCTAAAGTTCACTTTCATGATAGACCATCTTCGATACAAATTCTATTTGTATTTTCTTCTCTTGTAAATTGAGTTCAGTGGAGTAAAAGATAAGGAGATATAAGGAAGGAAGGAGGGGCTATAGGCCTTCTTAAGGACTGGCATTTTTTTTTCCACAAGGTTTCATAAGTGTGATATTTTCATTTTCATTCAGTTTGATGTACTCTCAAATTTAAATTTTTCTTCTTTAAACCATGAGATCTTTGGAAGTGTGTGTCTTCTTTTCCAAAAGAAGGGGATTTTTCTGGTTTCACTGTCATCAATGTTGTTGTTTCTATCACATTTGCATTGTAGTGAGGAAACAAAATCTATATATTGTAATTTTTGAAATGTATTTTGACTTGCCTTAAGGCTAGCATGTAATCATTTTCTTTTAACATTCTCTCATTGCTTGAATAGGTTATATATTCTGTGTAGTGTTCTATGTATATCAAGTAGTTCAAAGTTTTTAATCATGTTATTCATATTTTCTATTCATTTCTGAAAATGTATGTTTACTTGTTTAGTTACTAAGACAGATATGTTAAAATTTTAGTGTAATTGTGTGTATTCATTTTCCCTTTAGTTTTATCTATTTTTGCTTTATACATATGGAGGCTACATGATTAAATGCAGTTCTGTACTGAATTTGTACATTTTCCTGATAAACTAAAACTTCTTTCATTACATAGTATTATTTTTTGTCTAGTAATCTTTTTTCTCTTAAAGTCAGCTTTGTCTGATATTGATATTGCAGAGCCAAGTTTCTTTTGATTAGTGTTTGTATAGTATATTTTCATTCTTTTTTTCTTTAACTTGTGTCCTTATATTTAAATTGTTTCTCTTGGGGCATCTGGGTGGCTCAGTCTGTTGAGCGTCTGACTCTTGCTTTCACCTCAGGTCATGATCCCAGGGCTATGGAATCAAAACCACAAAGCAGGAATCAAAGCCCCCCTGCTTGGGATATTCTCTCTCTGTCTCTCTGTCTCTTTGTCTCTCTCCCTCTGCTCCTCTCCCCTCCTCTCTCCCACTCACTCTCTCTTTTTCTAAAATTAAAAACAAATTTTTTCTCTTAAAACAGCATTTTAGATGGTTTTTTGTAATGAACATGAGCATTTAATCTACTTACATTAATGTAATGATTGCTATGATTAGGTTTAAACTACCATTTTACTATTTGCCTTCTATTTGTCCTGCACATTTTAGTTTCCTTTTCTTTCTTTTCTTGCCTTCTCTATAAAATAATGGACCATTCTGTATTATACCATGTCTCCCCTGAATTACATTTGTAGTTTTATGCTCTTTTACTGTTCCTTTAGTGTTTTCCTTAGGGATTACTTTGACATGCATCCTTGATTTATCAAAATCTAAAATAAATTAGTAGTTTTACTTCTTCCTTGACAATGCAAGGACCTTCAAATACTTAAACTCTATTTAACTTCCTGCCAACTTATTATTCTCATGTATTTTAACTATAAATACCTTATAAATCCCAAATATTTTATAAATCCCAAATATCTTATAAATCCCCAAAGACCTTCCTATTATTGTAACAAATACAGTCAGTATTCATTTAGATTTACTCACATATTTATCCTTTCATTGCTTTTCATTGTGCTGGATTTTGAATCAAAAAGAGAAAGGAATTTAGTGCAAATTTGGTGAGTTCTACCCCTCCTTCATACTACCTCTCTGCTTCATTTGGAATTCAGAAAAACATAAGGGCCCTGAGGCATATGGGGAAACATTGTGCAGAAACATCATAAGTAAGATGTAATGAAATGGGTAGGAAAATATATACAAGAAGGTAACATGCTCTGAAGGCAAGAAGCACAAAGATGTGCTTTATTTAAAAAGCCTTAAGCAGTTAATGATTTGGAGAAGTATTGCCAAGTTACACTCAGCAAATTTAGTAGTATGCCCCAATTTAGTGGGCACAAAAGCTGTTTATTGTTGAATGAACAACAAGTATAATGTAATTGGTTTCATACAATTAGGAGGTCACCAAGCCATGCTTGTTATAATTGGCATTGCCATAGCCAGGGGCTTGTGTGACCTCAAGCGATGATTGGCCTGAAGGAGTAAGCCAAGAATGTGTGTGCTTTGGGCTAGGAAGACTGACTAATCTGGCTGCAAGGCTCAAGGAGGTGGCCAGGAATCAAGTCACAGTGCTTAGGCAAGCCATGGTGGATTCAGCTGAATGTAGTCAGTCTCCATTCAGTTCATCACTCTCCAGAGGATTGATCTGGAGCTGGGAATTGGGATCTGGTGGTTGGGAAGAACGAGGTAAAGCAGGAGGGCACCAGGGAACCACAATTGAAATGTCAGTTCAGAGGCATCCCATAATAAGATGGGATCATAATGCTTCTGAAAGCCATCCAGTTTGAAGCTGGTCCCCAGCTTGTGTGGAACTTTCATACAGACTGTCTTTAATTCCTGGTACTGAGCCACCCTAAAGCAAAGATTAATGGTGCCACTTCTTTCAAAATGCAGTTTTACCTCCACAGGGTTGTGGGTTAATGATTGGCTTTAATATCATTCTAAATACCAGTGTCATCTTTTCCCAAACATATTTTTAATGGATAATTAAGTTTAAGAAGTAAAAATGTTTACCTGGGAAATGTCATATTCACGGAGATGTGAGAGAACACTCTTTTTTTTTTTTTNCTGGATTTTGACTATTTTAATTGTTCTGTAGTAGTAGCTTATTGCTGTTTTAAATTTTTTTTTAATGTTTTATTTATTTCCAGGAGAGAGAGACAGTGTGAGCAGGGGAGGGTCAGAGAGAGAGGGAGTCACAGACTGAAACAGGCTCCAGGCTCTGAGCTGGCAGTCAGCACAGAGCCCGATGCGGGGCCCGAACCCACGAACCGCGAGATCATGACCTAAGCGAAAGTCGGACGCTTAACCGACTAAGCCACCCAGGCGCCCCAACTCTTAATGATTAGCAATCATTTATCAGTAGAAAATGTTTTTCCTTAAGATTCTGAAAGCAATAAGTTTCACTTTGCCAGTGTGCAAAAAGAGCTGAAAAATATTTAAGGAGTCCATTTCTTTGCTTGTTCTGTTTTGGCCTATGAGTGATTGGTTCGTTTGATCTGTGTTTAGTACAGGTGAGTCACAGGTTGAACTGGTCATGTGTACCACTTGGTTTTCTCCCCCATGTTCATGAACTGTGTATCTAACCTCATCCGATCATCTTGCAAATGAACACCACTAGCCACAGAGGAAACAGCTTGAGAAAGGGTCGATTTGCAGTGAAAATCAATCATCACTGCTGGAAAAGCAACTCCAAATACATGTAGCATGGGTTTTCCACAAGAGAACAGCATATTTCAAGGTTCTGATAGAACACAGGGCAATGACAGGGACTTCCAGGACACTAAATTCACCACTCTCTAAAACAAAGAAATGAACTATCAGTGAGGCTGATGTTTGTTGATTTTGGTGATGTTTTTGTTTATCATTTAAAGCACACCAATTATTAACGATCTGTTTTGCCAGAACAGATAAGAATCTAGAACTATAAATCTACTGCTGGCCACAGAGGAAGACAGTTCTCTT